TATATATATATATATCTTTATCTATATATTTATATCTATATGTATGTATGTATGGTGTATGTGTGTACGTGTGTATGTACGTGAGTACATGCGTATGTATGATATTAATTGCAATTTGAGGATCATAAAGAAATAGATCCAATACTAGAAAGCCTTGAGCCTTGATCCATGTGCTTCAAGTTATTTTATTATTGATCGGAGTAGCTGAATTTCAACACTCTCTCTCAAACTGGATGGTAGAAATCCATAATTCCAAGTTTGTGTATGATGTTTTTAAATATTTGGCTGCAAATTTGTTTGGTGAATATGTCGGCCAATTTATTCCTTGTGGGAACGTCTGGAGTACAAATAAGGCAACTTTCAACTTCTTTTTCATAAAATGTCAATCAACTTAAAACATATTTGGTTCGATGATATTATACAGAATTGTGTGAAATACTGATTGCTAATTTGTATCATAATATATTTTTCATGATCTTTCCACTTGATTTTTCAATCTTCTGATATAATTTTGATTCATAAAAGATAACAGATATTTTTGAGCAATAGCTCTAAACTCAGTTTTAACATTTGTTCTTGAAATCATAGCTATTATTTTACTTTTCCAAGTCTTGAGATTTTCTTGTTAGAATATAGAATACCCTGGAGTAAGCTTTCTATTCAATCACATTTGTGTATCCTCAAATTTGTCTGTTATTATGTTTTTTTTTGGTATAAAATTCTTTTTCCTGGGTTTGATTTTTGAGATTTGAGGATTCGATAGGCAGCTTGAAGGCGCCTCAATTTTGTGCATGAATTGACTATTAGACTTATTGCAAATGCGGTCAAGAAGGATATGGGATAAGTAGATTATTTTTTCGACTGACCTTTGATATTGTTTTGTATCTATCTCAGTTTCCTCTTCATTAATCTCCAATTATTGTTCCTGGTTAGGTTGGATTTTCACACGGCTTGCAATATGTTATTGTGGTCTTGTTCAGTAAATCCATAACATAGCTTTATTAGGTGAGAAATATCCCTTATTTATATTCCTAAGAAGTATTTAAGTTTTTCTTACTCTTTGATTTCAAATTATTCAGATTTTTTTTTTTTTCTGTGCTGGTCTCTCTTGATTGTCATCTCTTGTAAAAATCATAAATCAGCATATACAACAAGGATTGAGATTTAACATCAGGAAAGTGTAGGGTTAGTCTGCTACCAAGATCTCAAGACATCTTGCTTTGAGGATTTAGTGATCCTTAAAAAGTTTAAGTTGCGGTTGAGAATCTTTGAGTTTATGACAGTCCTGATGCACAAGAAGTTCTACGTTCATTTTAAATATTCGAACCTAAATACTAAATTTACCTTTGGACAAGAAGTTCATTTTTCTCTTGCATACCATTGCTTTCATATTTGATGTTTTTTTCATCTTTGCTAAGTTATTATGTTTTTTTCATGATTATTATGTCTAATTATAAAATCTCTGCAGTTCACTTTGTCATGATCAGTATTTTTTGGTGATACAGGGATCTGGTCTCTGGCGTAGCTCATTTACATGAACTTGGAATCGTTCATAGGGATTTAAAACCTCAAAATGTTTTAATAAGTGATGGGTACATTCTCTCTGCAAAGGTTTCTGATATGGGTATCAGTAAACGTCTACTTGATGATATGTCTTCCCTGAGCCATCATGCTACTGGTAAGCAGATTTTTAATCATCATGATTTGTGATTTTCAAAAGAACTTGCTTAATCAATATGCAGCACCTTGTTGCATGGGCCTTCTCTTCTTAATAATATTTCATAGGACATGGAAGCTCTGGTTGGCAAGCACCTGAACAGCTTCATCATCGGCGTCAGACACGTGCAGTTGATTTATTCAGTTTGGGTTGTATACTTTTCTTTTGTATTACAAAAGGTGAACATCCATTTGGAAAATATTATGAACGGGATGGGAATATCATGAAAAATCATGTTGACCTATTTTTGGTGGATCATATACCTGAAGCTACAGATCTTCTTTTGAAACTGTTGAACCCAGAGCCACAATTGAGGTGAGCTGATATTTTCATATATTTCTAAGTCTTGGTGGGTCATAATTACTCTGTTTTTTTTTACTTTTGAATCTGTACTTTTTGATTATTTCAGGCCAAATGCTGTAGAAGTATTGCATCACCCTTTCTTTTGGAGTTCTGAGATGCGATTATCATTTCTTCGTGATATAAGTGATAGGATTGAATTAGAAGATAGGGAAAATGAACCAGAACTTCCTAAAGCACTAGAAAATGCTGGAGCATTTGCATTTGGTGGAAAGTGGGGTGAAAAGTTAGATGCTGCTTTGATTAATGATATGGGTCGTTATAGAAAGTATAATTTTGGTTCTATGCGTGATCTTCTTCGAGTTATAAGAAATAAGCAAAACCATTACCGGGAACTTTCCAAAGAACTCAAGGTTCATCTCAATGTCCTTCTATTATTTCATTCTGAGTCGCAGTTGATATTCTATTTTTTTAGCTTCTTTAACAATTTGCATTTAATTACTGCAGTGATTTCTTTTTCCCGGTTGGGAACATACTCAATATGGATTAACATGCTCTGCTTCCATTGTTTGAGTAACTTGATAGAAATTCACAAATGCACAAAGTCTCCTATTCACTTGATTTTGCACAAATTTTAGACCATTGAAACATCACGATATAATACATGCATTTGTGAGCATATATGGAATTTGCATGGTGTGTCCTTGTGCTTTTCATCATATTAAATTTTAGAAGGCTCAAGTCATTTTCATTTGCATCGGGGAACAATATTTACAAACAGTGCGTCTCAGCTGGGAACAATCAATATTGCTTACCATTGTTTGAGTATACACAGATCACAAATGTACAAATGTATAAATGCTCCTAAAGTCACCTATCTTTAAAAAAACTTTTTGACCATACTAACATGAGATCAGAATATATTTTTACCCGTGAGAATGTATAAAATCTCCATGGTTGATGTGTGCTTGTGCTTGTCCTCATTAGGATATGCTCTATTTTCTTTCATCGCATTGTGGAACAATATCTACACTAGCTAAGTTGAGAGAGGCTATCAATAGCATATATAAGTCCATGCTCATTAACTTTCATACGATTTCTTCATTTTGACCCAACCATTGTTATGATCAAGATCTTAGAATTTGTGATTTTAGCATTGCTTATCATTCTCTTATTTAGCTCTGCTATTTATTCAATTTGCATGAATTTTTGTTTTCCTCAGAAATATTTTTTATTGTTTTGGTTTTAAAGCTATTAACATTAATAGCTTTCATGCCAGTGTTTTTGTGTGATAAATTAACTCTATTTTGTTGTTTCAGAATTTCATGAAATGGGGTATCTCTTTTTGTAAAGTAGGGTTTCCATTGTGCTAAGAGTGTCATTACAATTATTTGGTGACAACCCATATGTTGTTTGGTTAAACCTTTTGCTTCTTTCTTTTCCCTCCCTTTGGGTACATGGCCCAGATTTCTCTGTAACCCTACGACTAGACATAGGATTATTTCTAAGTTGCAATCTTAGTTAGTTCAATCTATTGTATATTACTTTCTTTTTCCTTGACATATGTTTATGTTCGAAGTAAATCTTAGTTCATCCTCCCTTGAAAAAATTTAAAGTCATTTTAAGGATGGGGAATTCTCATTGTTTATGAAAGCGATGATAGGATCTCTTGTCTTGTATATCCCAAGGGCAGGCAGGCTCGGCCCAAGTGAAGGGCAAGGAGATGAGCTCGGTAGACCGAGCTCTAGATAGACTCTCCATATTGAATTGAGGAGAATGGAGCTCACAACTAAGTTCAAGGTGGACTTGCCAATCAAGTCCCAATAGCTTTCATGCCAGTGTTTTTGTGTGATAAATTAATTCTATTTTGTTGTTTCAGAATTTCATGAAATGGGGTATCTCTTTTTGTAAAGTAGGGTTTCCATTGTGCTAAGAGTGTCATTACAATTATTTGGTGACAACCCATATGTTGTTTGGTTAAACCTTTTGCTTCTTTCTTTTCCCTCCCTTTGGGTACATGGCCCAGATTTCTCTGTAACCCTACGACTAGACATAGGATTATTTCTAAGTTGCAATCTTAGTTAGTTCAATCTATTGTATATTACTTTCTTTTTCCTTGACATATGTTTATGTTCGAAGTAAATCTTAGTTCATCCTCCCTTGAAAAAATTTAAAGTCATTTTAAGGATGGGGAATTCTCATTGTTTATGAAAGCGATGATAGGATCTCTTGTCTTGTATATCCCAAGGGCAGGCAGGCTCGGCCCAAGTGAAGGGCAAGGAGATGAGCTCGGTAGACCGAGCTCAAGATAGACTCTCCATATTGATTTGAGGAGAATGGAGCTCACAACTAAGTTCAAGGTGGACTTGCCAATCAAGTCCCAGGAGGACTTGCGAGAAGACTGATAAGGGGGCATCCACCTGGGCTAATAAGGGACTCTCCCAATGGTGTCACCAAACTCCCTCAATCGACTCAGGGTCCATTTGGGGCTGCTTATTTTGCGCGGAGCTGCTCCAAGCCGTGATAAACTTTTTTTTTTTTGTTTGGAAAACGTGTCGCGCCGCCGTTTTGGATAATTTCGGACGAAACGGGGGCCGCGGGTTCGACCTCGCTACCCGTGTTTCTTATTAACTGCCTGACCGCTTTTTACTACCCTCCTCTCTCACGACCGAGTCGAGCTTCTCCCTTCCCTTTCTCTCGATCGAGCTTCCCTCTCTCGTCAACCTAGAGGTAACTTCCCCGGTTGCCTCCTCTTGCCTGGTCCATGAACTGTGCTTCGTATTTGCTTGGATCATTCCCACTCCTTCGGCCTGCGGTATTCTTTTAGAACTTTTCTCTGGCATTATGATTTTGTGATGGTTTCTGAACTCTATTTGGTGGTTGATTTTCGATTGCTTGTTCTCTTGTTGGTTTTCGATCGATTTTCAATTGCTTGTTTTCTTGCTGGTTTTCAATTGATTTTCGATTGGTTGTTCTCTTTCCGTTTTTGCGTTGGTGATGCCCTTTATTGTAGATTTGGTGGCGGTTGTTTGCTGGGGCGGTGGATTGCTGCTATTTTTGGTGGTGGATTGTTGGGATTGGTGTGGTGGTTGTGGGTTGTGTTGGCTGTGTTGTATCTTATGGTGGCTATGGTGTGCCTTATGATGGCTGGGTGTGATTTGCTTTGAAAAAGTTTTTAGGAAACGCATGAAAGATTACTTTTCAGTGATCATCATCAATAACATGTGGAGATCATCTTCATTATCTCTAGGAGAAGACCGTAAATAAATTCTGATACATCCCCACAATAGTAAGATGCAACCGAAAAATAAAATGATTTTGTTATTGTAAATTTAGAGCATATTTTGTAAACTTTAACTGCCAAATGAACTTACATTTGGGTGGTTGTGCTGTGAGTTATAGTGGTTGTGGTGTGGTGGTTGTGCTGTGGTTGTGTGGTTGGTTGTGGTTTGGGTTGGTGACTCTGGATTGTGGTTGCTATGCTGTGGTGATTGTGCTATGTGTAGTGGCATAAATTATTTTGTGCATTGATATCCCATAAATTTGCTTTGAAAAATTCTTTGTGGAAAGCTTGAAAGAATATTTTTCAGTGTTCATCATCAATAACATCTAGACATTATCTTCATTATTTCTAGAAGAATGTTACCAATAAATTCTTATATATCCCCATAATAGTAATACTACTACTACAACAACAACAACAAAACCTTAATCCCTACATGAATCCTTTTTCTCCATTGCGTCCTATCGTGTCATATTTTCATTTAATTCTAATAAATTAATATCATTTTTTATACAATAAGCCCAAGCCTACCTATGGCTATCTCTGCCTTTTTTAACATAAGTCGAATCTAAAACATTTACTCTCCTACTTAGATTAGCAGATGATCGACGTTTAATGAGACCAAACCATTTAAGACGATTGTCTCTAATTTTGTCCGTCACTTGAGCTGCACCAACCCTATCACAGATATATTAATTTCACATTTTGTTTCTAAGTGTAAAGCCACTCATCCACCTAATCATGCTCATCTCGACAACGTCTAACTTAGTATTATGCTTCTCTTTAAAAGGCCAACATTTCGCACCATAGAGCATTGTAGGTGTCTCGTCCATCTTATAAAATTTTCCTTTCAGTTTAAGCGATACTTTTTTATCACACAAAAGGCCCGAAGCATTCCTCCACTTCAACTAACCAACTTGAATTCTACTAATAACATCCCCATCTCTATCACCATCGCTTTGAACAATAGACCCAAGATTTCTAAATCGTTCACACCTTTTAATAATTTGATCACCCAAAGTCACACTTATGTCCATTCCAAGTATTCGGTTTTAGTTCTACTCAAATGAAGACCTTCAGACTCCAATGTAGACCTCCATAATTCAAGTTTTTCCTTAGCTTTTTCTCTCGTTTTATCCATGACAAGGATATCATCAGCAAAAAACATACACCAATATACATCCTCCTGTAAATGTCCAGTAAGACTATTCATAACTAAAAGCAAAAAGATATGGGCTTAAAGCTGATCTCTGATGTAATCCAACAGAGATAGGAAAATATTTAGTCAAACCTCCTTCTATTCGAACACAAGTAACAACTCTAGTATACATATCCTTAATGACTTGAATATAAGTCATATCAACACCTTTCTTCTCAAGAACTCTCGAAAGGAGATCTCTTGGAAGCTTATGATAGGCTTTTTCTAAATCAATAAAAATCAAATGTAGATCCTCCTTATTATCTCTGAACTTCTCCATCAATCCTCTCAATAAATGTATAACTTCCATAGTAGGCCTGTCCGACATAAATCCAAATTGATTATGAGAAATCTTTGTAATACATCTTAGCCTATGTTCAATTACTCTCCCTAATTTTAAAGTATGATACATCAACTTAATTCCTCTATAATTTGCAGACTTGTGCATCTCCTTTAATCTTAAAAATGGGGATCAAAATACTCTTCCTCCACTCCCTAGACATCTTTTTACTTTTTAAAATAATATTAAAGATAGTAAGCCAAGAAACTCCCAAATCTCCTAAATATTTCCATACTTCAATTAGGATATCACCAGGTCCTACAGACATTCCACCCATGGTTTTTTTAAACTCTCTTCAACTTCTTTTCTATTAATGCGACGATAAAAATGAAACGTTTTATTATTATTAAAAATATTAAGATCACTAAGGTCGATCGTATTTTTAGGAACTTGGTTGAAAAGTTTATCAAAATAATTCACACACTTATGTTGAATATCTTTTTTTAAGAAAAACATTTTTTGATTTTCATCTTTAATACACTGATTTTCATCTTATTTTCATCTTTAATACACTTTACTTGTGTTAAATCTTTACTCTTTTTTTCTCTTTGTTTGGCTAGTATATACATATTTTTGCCCTCCTTGGTGTCCA